AAAATATTTAAGCAATGGTCTCATTAAACTGAAAAATAAAAAAAAAAAATAAAAAAAAAAACCCCCTCCTTTTTTTTTTGGGGGGGGGGGGGAGAGAGAGAGAGAGAGGCTTCTGTTAATCTAGAAATAAATAACGATTTACTACCTCAATTTACTAACAAATCAGAACCAAGTCAAATACCAATTGCTTGATGTTCCAATAATTTCAGTTCGAAATTCAAATTGAAGAAAAAAAATTCCATTTACAGTAAGGGTATATTTGATTACAATTATTTTCCATGGAAAAAAACAATTTTCCATCCAAATTTCTACTTGGAATGTTTGATTGCTATTTTTTTCCATGAAAAATATTTTTCAACTTTTGAAAATATGTCTAATTTTCCTTATTTTCAAGGAAAACATTTTCCTTGGGCGGAGGTGATTTTTATTTTCCTCAAAAGAAGGAAAACATTTTCTTGCCAATCAAACACACTCTAAGATTTAGAGCTCTATCTTGAAAAATCCATATTAGCAAGTGAACTCGTTGAAGTCCTTAGATGCTATATATTTATGAGAAATCATGATTTTTAGCAAAAATTGAGGGTTGGATCGAACATGTGTACGTCTTTTTTTTTTCGTATGAACCCAATTTAAATCGAGTAAAATTTGAAAATGTTACAACTGCTTCCCTATTCCATGTGGCTCCACCAACAAGCCAATTAGCTTACACAACGACTCTTTTTCTTTTTCTATATTCTCTTAAAAGATACAATAATGTTACAGGTACATAGTTTTTTCACAGAAATTTTACGAGATTTCACATGGTGCATACTGATTAGCGGGTGACAAAAAAATAAAAAAATAGTCTTCGAGTCATGTGATGTCACCACAACATCAGTAGGAATTCCATGAAAGAATCCCTGCACTTGGGGAATTTTCCATAGAGATAATATGTTTTTGCCTCGATGTTTACTCATTTTGTATCTTTATCCTAATCAATCGATTGGAATAATCATGTAGATCCTTTCAAACATGAATGGTTGTGAAGGAATTGTGTATTTTGAAAACACGTTTAAAGAGAATTAGACAGACAATTGTATGAATCATTTAGTAACAAAAGAAACTCATGTGGGCAAAGCAAATCAATGCGATGTCAAACTATTCATATAAAAACTTATTCAAGATGGGTTTAATTTTAATTATTGAAAATTTGATCTTCATCTTTTCATTTTTAATGAGTTAAACTTCAATCTTTAATGGCTATTTTGCGCCCTGGTCAAATTCATTCAAGACTTGTTACATACATAGTTTTAAAAATCGATTTATGTAATTCGAATTCTAGACTTTCGTTCTTACAACATATGTAACAAATAAAATATCCTTAAATAATAAATGAATAACCACAATATCCATTAACATCTATCCATCTACATCTACAATACATTAAAAGAAGGGATTGAGGAGAAACTTTTGATTATCAATTGTACCATTACATATTTAGCTTTAAGTCCAATATACCCTCATTTATTCTCATATATTTAATTTTCCATTTTGCCATTATATGTTATGCTTATGGTCAATAATACCCTTAAAATCAAATTTATTTCAACTAAATTCAATTATTATAAAAATTAAAATTATTTATCTTTTAAATTAAGTCAATTAATTTCCAGTAAATACTATTATTACTAATTATTAGTATATGATTAATAAAAAATTATATAAAAACAAAACAAAGATTATAAAAATACCACATATATAATTAACATGAAATGGCATAGACTATCAAATCAATTAATATTTAAAATATAAGATTAATAAAAACAATACAATTATATATACACTTAAATTTCTTTTTAAACCTAATATTACAGATTAAAAAAATAGTGCACTCCTAAAAGATTTCATTGAAAATGAAACATAAGAGTAAAGAAAAAAATCCGGTTAACTAATGTTTACTTAATAAGTATTAGATGAAAAGTCATTTTATGATAATCCATCAACTCTTTAATCACCATTAATTTATATTAAGTTGATAAAATATTATTAAAAAAATAAATCATTTTTAGAAAACCTGTGTGAATAGATGATAAACATTCGATTTCACATTTTACTTTTACATTTTTATATTTGCGGTGAACAATACCCTTAATACTCAATTTATAACTTTTAAATAAGATAATTAATAATTATTATGCTTTAAAAAATTAAGTCAATTAATTTCCACTAAATACAATTATTACTAATTATTAGTACACAATTAATAAAAATATTATTACATACAATTAAAAGAAATTACAAAAATACTATTTATATTTATAATTTACTTGAAATGACATATTTTATTAATTCGATTAACAAAGTTTAAGGATAAACAATGATTACTATTAGAATATACATTTCTGAATATGTATTATCTTATGGGCGACTATATCTCACCATTTTTTATTTTATTTTATTATTATTATTATTTTTTGTTTCAATGCAAACAACAAAAGTTTTGATAAAAGACTAAAATAAAAAATAAGAAGAAGAAAAATTGTAGGATGTTGACAAAAAATATTGTGTACAAAGAAACGTTATTCAAGTAAAAATATTACATTTCAATTAGATACATAATTTTATAAAAAGTGTTATTCATATATATATATATATTTTTAACAATTTTAATTTACCTTAAGTATTATTAATTACATCAATTACTTTCAAAAACATTATTGGTACTTAAAAATATTAGGCATATCATTCGTCCGATACATAAAATGTCCAATGCACGTACTTACTACTAGTAGTATTAAAACTCAATAATTTCTATTTAAATTTTGCTTTCAACATCCAGAATAATGAGACATTCTAGTGACAACTAATTTGAGTCATTTTAATTTATTTGTGATTCGATTAAGATTAGCATCCCCTAAATTTGATAATTTTGTATCTTATAGTAGGATTAAAGAAAGTGATCAAAATATAAAGAATTTAAAAAAAAAAAGATAAAATTTTGTTTATTTCAAGAAAATCAAATTTTATTTATTTATTTTATCTCTAGCCGAAATAATGCATGAGATGCCTATTGAACTATTTGTCAATCCTAATTCTCTTTCTCTACTGCTCCACTATGATATTTAAAAAATAATAATAATGAAAATTAAAAATTATCACTTTAAATATTTCAATATAATTTGTTGTTTACTTCTTTAGGCTTACAAAAATAATAAAACCAACCACTAAAAAAAGCATAAACATTATGTGAATGTCTGGTATTCACAATTTTTTGGGACAAATTCAAATAATTTTGTTTATAATAATTTGGTTTTTCCTCTTTTCTTCTTTCTTGTATGTATTTATTAAACTTCAATTTTCAATATTGAGTTTGAATGATTACCCTGGTTGCATTGTGAAGTGTAATACCATGGATTTTTTAATATTATTATCTGCCTATTCGCTGAAATTATCTTGAAGCGAATATTTACTCCATTTTAACGAGAAAGAACTACGTTGTTTACTATATATTAGACCAGATTTCTCAAATATTTATATAAACAATATATTCTTTTTTGGTACCCTTACCAACAATTCATTTCTAAGTATTGTTTATTTTAAGCTGAAATTTTGTTTCATCAATGTTGTATTTTTTTTTCTTTTTTTGTACAAATTTTAGAATCCTAACATATTGCATGTCACTCGTGAATCATCACATGGATCCTGGCTTTTTCAAATTAATTACATAATTTGAAAAGGATTTTAAAAAATGAGGAAGTTTGTTAAGGAGTCTCTCTCTCTCTCTCTCTCTCTCTCTCTCTCTCTCTCTCTCTCTCTCTCTCTCTGTGTGTGTATTTGTGCGAGAGAGATAATGGGAAGACTACGAGTTCATTGTCCCTATATTTCCACAAGAAATAGGGTTACTTATAGGTTGATTTTAAATATAACTATTTTGTTGACTCTTTAAAGTCGTTATTAAAAGAATTTTTTTATTCAAGGAGATTGTAACCTTTATCAATAAATTATAACCATAATTATAATTTCACTCAAGTGCTCATCATGTACTTCGATTTGTTCAATAGAGTAAATATATTTTATTTATTTTCAATTTAATAACTTCATTAGATTCTATCGTTTGGACATATAAAAATGAATAATGTGACCATCAATACATTTATTTCATTGAAATTGCACTTATTCCACATCAACGATCGACAATCATGTGTGCTGATCGTCACTTATTTATCTTATGACACTCAGTTTCGTTAGTTGAATTAGACAGAACAGAAGTAAAATTAAAGTATGATATATTCCTCACATGGGTATAAATGTAGGGACTTAATGATGAAAAATTTTAACAGGTTATTTGTTGTGAAGGAAGAAAAAAAAATCATCATCGACAAAAAAGCTTTGAATAGTTAGCTATCGAGGGAAAAGGGGGAAAAAGATTATGTTTATTGTGTAATAATAGATTTTTTATGTAAAAAAATATATTAATATTAAATTTTATTTATGTAATTTTACTTTAGATTATTTAAGTAGATAAGAAAAATATTTAACCCCTGTTTGGGTTTCATTTTAATTTTTATACATTTCTTTCTTTCTTTTTTTAATCACATTTCAATAAAATAATATTATAAGTAAGCTCAAAACATTTTTTTTTATGACCATACATTCGCCAAAACAATCACTTTTTAAAATATGTTTTTCCACTAAAACCTAATTTATTGAAGCCCAAACAAGGGTTTAAAATTATGGCGCAGCTAATAAAAATTGGATGGTAATGTAATTACCCACTTTAAAACAAGTTACTACATCCATTACACTATAGCAACCATTATGGAGGATGAAAGCAGCCACAAGAACAAGAGGAAAGAATTCTGGAGAAAAATTGGAATGAAAATGAGGTATGAGTTGTTGATCAATTTTGTATCGAACACTTGATTTCCATCGGGTAAATGTAGATGAATATATAAAATTGATTTTGAATTTGTTAGAATATGTATTTTAATCTCTGATTTCCAACACCGATTCAATTGGAGGAATATGTGGAGGATGAAAGCAGTAGCTACAACTACAAGAAAAGAAGCCTGGAGAAAATTCAGAATGGAAATGAGGTAAGAATTGTTCATCAATTTTGTATCGGACACTCGATTTTCATCAGGTAAAATGCAGAAGAATGTATAAAATTGATTTTGAATTTTTTAGAATATGTATTTTAATCTTTGATTTCCAACACAGATTCAACGGGAAGAATATGCGGAGGATGAAAGCAGCCGCTACAACTATGAGGAAAGAAGTCTGGATAAAATTCGGAATGGAAATGAAGTATGAGTTGCTCATCAATTTTGTATTGGGCACTCGATTTTAGTTGAGTAAAATGTAGAAGAATGTATAAAATTGATTTTCAATTTTTTTAGAATTTCTTTTTTAATATCTAATTACCAACATTGCTTCAATATGAGGAATATGTGGAGGACCAAAGTAATCACTACAACTACGAGGAAAAGATTTTGGAGAAAATTCAGAACGAAAAATGAGGTATGACTTGCTCATCAATTTTGTATCGAACACTCAATTTTCATCGGGCAAAATGTTGACGAATGTACAAAATTGATTTTGAACTTTTAGACTTTGTATTTAATCTCTAATTCCCAACATTGATTCAACATGAGGATTATGCAAAGGACGAAAGCAGCCGCTATAACTACGAGGAAAAGAGTCTGGAGAAATTTCGGAATGAAAATGAGGTATGAGCTTCTCATCAATTTTGTGTCGGACACTCGATTTTCGTCAAGTAAAACATAGAAGGATGTATAAAATTGACTTTGATTTTTTTTAGAATTTCTATTTTAATATCTCATTTCCAACACTGATTCAATAGGACGAATATGTGGAAGACAAAAGCAGTTGCTACAACTACGAGGAAATGAGTTTGGAGAAAATTTGGAATGGAAATGAGATATGAACTTCTCATCAATTTTGGATTGGACACTTGATTTTCGTAGGGTAAAATGTAGAAGAATGTATAAAATGATTTTGATTTTTTTAGAATTTCTATTTAAATCTCTGACTGCCAACACTGATTCAATATGAAGAATATGTGAAGGACAAAAGCAGCCGCTACAACTACGAGGAAAGGAGTCCGGAGAAATTTCGAAATGAAAATGAGGTATGAGCTTCTCATCAATTTTGTATCGGACACTCGATTTTCATCAGGTAAAATGTAGAAGAATATATAAAATTGATTTTAAATTTTTGAGAATTTTTATTTTAGTCTCTGATTCCCAACACTGATTCAATAGGAGGAATATGTGGAGGGCAAAAGCAATCGCTACAACTATAAGGAAAGAAGTCTAGAGAAAATTCAAAATGGAATTAGGTATGAATTGCTCATCAATTTTGGATCGGGCACTTGATTTTCGTCGGGTAAGTAGAAGAATATATATAATCGATTTTGAATTTGTAATAATATGTATTTTAATATCTGATTCCTAATACTGATTAAATAGGAGGAATATGTGGAGAACGAAAGCAGCCGCTAAACTACGAGGAAATGAGTCTAGAGAAAATTCGAAATGGAAATGAGGTATGAGTTGATCATCAATTTTGTATCAGATACTCGATTTCGATGAAGTAATATGTAGAAGAGCATATAAAATTGATTTTGAATTTTTTAGAATTTGTATTTAAATCTCTGATTCCCAACAAACAGCCGCTACAACTATAAGGAAAAATAGTCTGGAGAAAATTCTTAATGGAAATGAGATACGAGTTTCTAACCAATTTTCTATTGGACACTTGATCTTCGTAGGGTAAAATGTAGAAGAATGAACAAAATTAATTTATAATTTTTTGGAATTTGTAATTTAACCTCTAATTCACAACACTGATTAAATAGGATGAACATATGGAGGATGAAAGCAACCTCTACATTTACAAGGAAAGGAGTTTGGAGAAAATTCTTAATGTTAATGAGTAATGAGTTTCTCATCAATTTTGTATCGGACACTATATTTTTGTCAGGTAAAACGTAGACAAATGTATAAAATTGATTTTGAATTATTTTGAATTTGTATTTTGATCTCTGATTTCCAACACTAATTCAATAGAATGAATATATGGTGGATGAAAACAACCGCTACAAGTACGAGTAAAGGAATCTAGAGAAAATTAGGAATGAAAATGAGGTATGAGTTTCTCATAAATTTTGTATCAGACACTTTATTTTCATCGCGTAAAATGTAGAAGAATGTATAAAATTAATTTTGAATTTTTTTGGAATTTGTATTTTAATCTCTAATTATCATCACTGATTCAATAGGGGAAATATGTGGTGGACGAAAGTAGCCGCTACAACTTCGAGGAAAGGATTCTTGAGAAAATTTGGAATGAAAATGAGGTATAAGTTGCTCATCAATTTTGTATCGAACACTCGATTTTTGTCGTGTAAAATGTAGATGAATGTATAAAATTGATTTTGAATTTGTTAGAATATGTATTGTAATCTTTGATTCCAAATACTTATTTTATATGAGGAATATGTGGAGGACGAAAACAACCACTACAAGTATGAGGAAAAGAGCTTAGAGAAAATTCGGAATGAAAATAAGGTATGAGCCACTCATCAATTTTGTATTGGACACTTGATTGTCGTGGGGACAAAATATAGAAGAATGTATAAATTATTTTAATTTTTTTAAAATTTGTATTTTAATCTCTGATTCCCAATACTGATTCAATTTGAGGAATTTGTGGAGGACAATAGAGGCCGTGACTACGAGGAAATGAGATTGGAGAAAATTCTAAATGGAAATTACGTATGAGTTTCTCATCAATTTTGTATCGGACGCTCGATTTTCGTCAGGTAAAATGTTGACAAATGTATAAAATTGATTTTGAATTTTTAGAATTTGTATTTCAATCTCTGAATCCCAACATCGATTTAACAGGAGGAGTATGCAGAGAATGAAAGCAGTCGCTACAACTACAAGAAAAGGAATCTGGAGAAATTTCGGAATGAAAATGACGTATGAGCTTCTCATCAATTTTATGTGGAGGACAAAAGCAGTCGCTAAGACTATGAGGAAAGGATTCCAGAGAAAATTCGGAATGGAAATGAGGTATGAGTTGCTCATCAATTTTGGATCGGGCACTTGATTTCAATCAGTAAAATGTAGAAGAATGTATAAAATCGATTTTGAATCTGTAAGAATATGTATTTTAATATCTGATTCCCAAACTGATTAAATAGGAGGAATATGTGGAGAATGAAAGCAGCCGCTACAACGACGTGGAAATGAATCTAGAGAAAATTCGAAATGGAAATGAGGCATGAGTTGCTCATCAATTTTTTATTAGGCACTCGATTTCCATCAAGTAATATGTAGACGATCGTATAAAATTGATTTTAAATTTTTTAGAATTTGTATTTTAATCTCTTATTCCCAACAAGTAGCCACTACAATTACGAGGAAAGGAGTCTAGAGAAAATTCTTAATGGAAATGAGTATGAGTTTCTAATTAATTTTTTATCGGACACTCGATTTTCATATGGTAAAATGTAGAAGAAAGAACAAAATTGATTTATATTTTTTTAGAATTTGTATTTTAACCTCTGATTCACAATACTAATTCAATACGATGAACATATCGAGGATGAAAGCAGCCACTACAACTACGAGAAAAGGTGCCTTGAGAAAATTTGGAATGGAAATGAGGTATGAGTCGCTCATCAATTTTGTATCGGACACTCGATTTTCGTCCTATAAAAAGTAGACAAATGTATAAAATTGATTTTGAATTTTCTAGAATTTGTATTTTAATCTCTGATTATCAACACTAATTCAATATGAGGAGAACGAAAGAAGTTGTTACAACTACGAGGAAAGGAGTCTGGAGAAATTTTGAAATGAAAATGAGGTACGAGTTGCTCATCAATTTTGGATCGGCCAGTTGATTTTCGTCAGGTAAAGTGTAGAAGAATATATAAAATCAATTTTGAATTTTGTAAGAATATGTATTTTAATCTTTGATTCCCAACACTGATTCAATAGAAAGAATATGTAGAGGAAGAAAGCAACCGCTACAACTACGAGGAAAAGATTCTAGAGAAAATTCGGAGTGAAAATAAGGTATGAGTCATTCACCAATTTTGTATCGGAACTCAATTTTTTTCAGGTAAAATGTAGACAATGTATAAATTTGATTTTTAAATTTTTAAAAATTTGTATTTTAATCTTTGATTATCAACACCGATTCAATATGAGGAGTATATGGAGGACGAAAGCAGCCGCTACAACTACGGGAAAGGAATCTGGAGAAATTTCAGAATGAAAATGAGGTATGAGCTTCTCATCAATTTTGTATCGGACACTCAATTTTCGTCACATAAAATTTAGAACGAGGGTATAAAATTGGCTTTAAATTTTTTGGAATTTGTATTTTAATCACTGATTATCAACACTACTTCAATATGAGGAATAAGTGGAGAACGAAAGTATTCGCTACTACTTCGAGGAAAGGATTTTGGAGAAAATTTGCAATGGAAAAGAGGTATGAGTTGCTCATTGATTTTTATCGGACACTCAATTTTTGTGGGTAAAATGTAGATGGGTGTATAAAATTGATTTTGAATTTGTTAGAATATGTATTTTAATCTCTGATCCTCATCACCGATTTAATTGGAGAAATACGTGGTGGAAGAGAGCAGTCGCAACAATTACGAGGAAAGGAGACATGAATAAATTCATAATCAAAATGAGGTATGAATTGCTCATCAATTTTGGAACGGGCAGTCGATTTCCGTCGGGTAAAATGTAGAAGAATGTATGAAATCAATTTTGAATATGTAAGAATATGTATCTTAATATCTGATTCCCAACATTGATTCAATAGAAGGAATATGTAGAAGATGAAAGCAATCGCTACAACTATGAGAAAAGGATTCTGGAGAAAATTTGGAGTGGAAATAAGGTATGAGACGCTCATAAATTTTGTATCGGAACCCAATTTTTGTCAGGTAAAATGTAGACAAATGTATAAAATTGATTTTTGAATTTTTTTTCAAATTTGTATTTTAATCTCTGATTATCAACACGGATTCAATATAAGGAGTATATAGAGGATGAAACCAGCTGCTAAAACTATGAGGAAAGGATTCTGAAGAAAAATTCGAAGTGGAAATCAGGTATGAGTCGCTCATCAATTTTGTATCGGACATTCGATTTTCGTCCAACAAAATGTAGACAAATGTATAAATTTGATTTTGAATTTTTTAAAATTTGCATTTTAATCTCTGATTATCAATAGCGATTCAATATGAGAAGTATATGAAGGACGAAAGCATCCGCTACAACTACAAGGAAAGGAGTTTGGAGAAATTTCGGAATGAAAATGAGGTATGAGTTTCTCATCTATTTTGTATCGGACACTCGATTTTTGTCGGTAAAATGTAGATGAATGTATAAAATTGATTTTAAATTTGTTAGAATATGTATTTTAATCTCTGATTATCAATAGCGATTCAATATGAGAAGTATATGAAGGACGAAAGCATCCGCTACAACTACAAGGAAAGGAGTTTGGAGAAATTTCGGAATGAAAATGAGGTATGAGTTTCTCATCTATTTTGTATCGGACACTCGATTTTTGTCGGTAAAATGTAGATGAATGTATAAAATTGATTTTAAATTTGTTAGAATATGTATTTTAATCTCTGATTATCAATAGCGATTCAATATGAGAAGTATATGAAGGACGAAAGCATCCGCTACAACTACAAGGAAAGGAGTTTGGAGAAATTTCGGAATGAAAATGAGGTATGAGTTTCTCATCTATTTTGTATCGGACACTCGATTTTTGTCGGTAAAATGTAGATGAATGTATAAAATTGATTTTAAATTTGTTAGAATATGTATTTTAATCTCTGATTATCAATAGCGATTCAATATGAGAAGTATATGAAGGACGAAAGCATCCGCTACAACTACAAGGAAAGGAGTTTGGAGAAATTTCGGAATGAAAATGAGGTATGAGTTTCTCATCTATTTTGTATCGGACACTCGATTTTTGTCGGTAAAATGTAGATGAATGTATAAAATTGATTTTAAATTTGTTAGAATATGTATTTTAATCTCTGATTATCAATAGCGATTCAATATGAGAAGTATATGAAGGACGAAAGCATCCGCTACAACTACAAGGAAAGGAGTTTGGAGAAATTTCGGAATGAAAATGAGGTATGAGTTTCTCATCTATTTTGTATCGGACACTCGATTTTTGTCGGTAAAATGTAGATGAATGTATAAAATTGATTTTAAATTTGTTAGAATATGTATTTTAATCTCTGATTATCAATAGCGATTCAATATGAGAAGTATATGAAGGACGAAAGCATCCGCTACAACTACAAGGAAAGGAGTTTGGAGAAATTTCGGAATGAAAATGAGGTATGAGTTTCTCATCTATTTTGTATCGGACACTCGATTTTTGTCGGTAAAATGTAGATGAATGTATAAAATTGATTTTAAATTTGTTAGAATATGTATTTTAATCTCTGATTATCAATAGCGATTCAATATGAGAAGTATATGAAGGACGAAAGCATCCGCTACAACTACAAGGAAAGGAGTTTGGAGAAATTTCGGAATGAAAATGAGGTATGAGTTTCTCATCTATTTTGTATCGGACACTCGATTTTTGTCGGTAAAATGTAGATGAATGTATAAAATTGATTTTAAATTTGTTAGAATATGTATTTTAATCTCTGATTATCAATAGCGATTCAATATGAGAAGTATATGAAGGACGAAAGCATCCGCTACAACTACAAGGAAAGGAGTTTGGAGAAATTTCGGAATGAAAATGAGGTATGAGTTTCTCATCTATTTTGTATCGGACACTCGATTTTTGTCGGTAAAATGTAGATGAATGTATAAAATTGATTTTAAATTTGTTAGAATATGTATTTTAATCTCTGATTATCAATAGCGATTCAATATGAGAAGTATATGAAGGACGAAAGCATCCGCTACAACTACAAGGAAAGGAGTTTGGAGAAATTTCGGAATGAAAATGAGGTATGAGTTTCTCATCTATTTTGTATCGGACACTCGATTTTTGTCGGTAAAATGTAGATGAATGTATAAAATTGATTTTAAATTTGTTAGAATATGTATTTTAATCTCTGATTATCAATAGCGATTCAATATGAGAAGTATATGAAGGACGAAAGCATCCGCTACAACTACAAGGAAAGGAGTTTGGAGAAATTTCGGAATGAAAATGAGGTATGAGTTTCTCATCTATTTTGTATCGGACACTCGATTTTTGTCGGTAAAATGTAGATGAATGTATAAAATTGATTTTAAATTTGTTAGAATATGTATTTTAATCTCTGATTATCAATAGCGATTCAATATGAGAAGTATATGAAGGACGAAAGCATCCGCTACAACTACAAGGAAAGGAGTTTGGAGAAATTTCGGAATGAAAATGAGGTATGAGTTTCTCATCTATTTTGTATCGGACACTCGATTTTTGTCGGTAAAATGTAGATGAATGTATAAAATTGATTTTAAATTTGTTAGAATATGTATTTTAATCTCTGATTATCAATAGCGATTCAATATGAGAAGTATATGAAGGACGAAAGCATCCGCTACAACTACAAGGAAAGGAGTTTGGAGAAATTTCGGAATGAAAATGAGGTATGAGTTTCTCATCTATTTTGTATCGGACACTCGATTTTTGTCGGTAAAATGTAGATGAATGTATAAAATTGATTTTAAATTTGTTAGAATATGTATTTTAATCTCTGATTATCAATAGCGATTCAATATGAGAAGTATATGAAGGACGAAAGCATCCGCTACAACTACAAGGAAAGGAGTTTGGAGAAATTTCGGAATGAAAATGAGGTATGAGTTTCTCATCTATTTTGTATCGGACACTCGATTTTTGTCGGTAAAATGTAGATGAATGTATAAAATTGATTTTAAATTTGTTAGAATATGTATTTTAATCTCTGATTATCAATAGCGATTCAATATGAGAAGTATATGAAGGACGAAAGCATCCGCTACAACTACAAGGAAAGGAGTTTGGAGAAATTTCGGAATGAAAATGAGGTATGAGTTTCTCATCTATTTTGTATCGGACACTCGATTTTTGTCGGTAAAATGTAGATGAATGTATAAAATTGATTTTAAATTTGTTAGAATATGTATTTTAATCTCTGATTATCAATAGCGATTCAATATGAGAAGTATATGAAGGACGAAAGCATCCGCTACAACTACAAGGAAAGGAGTTTGGAGAAATTTCGGAATGAAAATGAGGTATGAGTTTCTCATCTATTTTGTATCGGACACTCGATTTTTGTCGGTAAAATGTAGATGAATGTATAAAATTGATTTTAAATTTGTTAGAATATGTATTTTAATCTCTGATTATCAATAGCGATTCAATATGAGAAGTATATGAAGGACGAAAGCATCCGCTACAACTACAAGGAAAGGAGTTTGGAGAAATTTCGGAATGAAAATGAGGTATGAGTTTCTCATCTATTTTGTATCGGACACTCGATTTTTGTCGGTAAAATGTAGATGAATGTATAAAATTGATTTTAAATTTGTTAGAATATGTATTTTAATCTCTGATTATCAATAGCGATTCAATATGAGAAGTATATGAAGGACGAAAGCATCCGCTACAACTACAAGGAAAGGAGTTTGGAGAAATTTCGGAATGAAAATGAGGTATGAGTTTCTCATCTATTTTGTATCGGACACTCGATTTTTGTCGGTAAAATGTAGATGAATGTATAAAATTGATTTTAAATTTGTTAGAATATGTATTTTAATCTCTGATTATCAATAGCGATTCAATATGAGAAGTATATGAAGGACGAAAGCATCCGCTACAACTACAAGGAAAGGAGTTTGGAGAAATTTCGGAATGAAAATGAGGTATGAGTTTCTCATCTATTTTGTATCGGACACTCGATTTTTGTCGGTAAAATGTAGATGAATGTATAAAATTGATTTTAAATTTGTTAGAATATGTATTTTAATCTCTGATTATCAATAGCGATTCAATATGAGAAGTATATGAAGGACGAAAGCATCCGCTACAACTACAAGGAAAGGAGTTTGGAGAAATTTCGGAATGAAAATGAGGTATGAGTTTCTCATCTATTTTGTATCGGACACTCGATTTTTGTCGGTAAAATGTAGATGAATGTATAAAATTGATTTTAAATTTGTTAGAATATGTATTTTAATCTCTGATTATCAATAGCGATTCAATATGAGAAGTATATGAAGGACGAAAGCATCCGCTACAACTACAAGGAAAGGAGTTTGGAGAAATTTCGGAATGAAAATGAGGTATGAGTTTCTCATCTATTTTGTATCGGACACTCGATTTTTGTCGGTAAAATGTAGATGAATGTATAAAATTGATTTTAAATTTGTTAGAATATGTATTTTAATCTGTGATTGTCAACACTGATTTAATTGGAGGAATACGCGGAGGACGAAAGCAGCTGCAACAACTACGAGGAAATGAGACATGAGTAAATTCATAATCAAAATGAGGTATGAGTTGCTCATAAATTTTGTATCGAAACTCAATTTTTGTTAGGTAAATGTAGACAAATATAAAAAATTGATATTTGAAGTTTTGGAAATTTGTATTTTAATGCTTGATTATCAACACTGATTCAATATAAGGAGTACATAGAGGAGGAATGCAACGGCTACAACTACGAGGAAAGGATTCTGGAGAAAATTCGAAAAGGAAATGAGGTAAGAGTCGCTCATCAAGTTTGTATCGGACACTCGATTTTCGTCCAGTAAAATGTAGACAAAGGAATAAATTTGATTTTGATTTTTTTAAAATTTGCATTTTAATCTCTGATTATCGATACCGATTCAAATGAGTAGTATGTGGAGGACGAAAGAAGCTGCTACAACTACAAGGAAAGGAGTTTGGAGAAATTTTGGACTGAAAATGAGGTATGAGTTTCTCATCTATTTTGTATCGGACACTCGATTTTTGTCGGTAAAATGTAGACGGATTTATAAAATTGATTTTAAATTTGTTAGAATATGTATTTTAATATATGATTCTCAACACTGATTTAATTGGAGGAATACGCGGAGGACGAAAGCAGCTGTAACAACTACGAGGAAATGAGACATGAGTAAATTCACAATCAAAATGAGGTTTGAGTTGCTCATCAATTTTGGATCGGGCACTTGATTTCTGTCGGGTAAAATGCAGACGAATATATAAAATCAATTTTGAATTTGTAAAAATATGTATTTTAATCTCTAATTCCCGACACTAATTCAACTGAAGGAATATGTAGAGGATGAAAGCAACCGCTACAACTATGAGGAAAGGATTCTGGAGAAAACTTAGAGTGGAAATGAGGTATGAGTTGCCCATAAATTTTGTATCGAAACTCAATTTTTGTTTGGTAAAATGTAGGCAAATGTAAAAAATTGATTTTTGAAATTTTGGAAATTTGTATTTTAATCTCTGATAATCAACACTGATTTAATATAAGGAGTACATAGAGGAGGAATGCAACCGCTACAACTACGAGGAAAGGATTCTGGATAAAATTCGGAATGAAAATGAGGTAAGTGTCACTCATCAATTTAGTATCGGACACTCGATTTTCGACGAGTAAAATGCAAACAAAGATATAAATTTGATTTTGAATTTTTTAAAATTTGCATTTTAATCTCTGATTATCGACACCGATTCAATATGAGGAGTACATGGACGATGAAAGCAGCCGCTACAACTACAAGGAAAGGAGTTTGGAGAAATTTCGGAATGAAAATGTGGTATGAGTTTCTCATCTATTTTGTATCGGACACTAGATTTTTGTCGGTAAAATGTAGACGAATGTATAATATTGATTTTAAATTTGTTAGAATATGTATTTTAATATAAGATTCTCAACACTGATTTAATTGGAGGAATACGCGGAGGACGAAAGCAGCTGCAACAACTACGAGGAAATGAGAAATGAGTAAATTCACAATCAGAATGAGGTATGAGTTGCTCATCAATTTTGGATCGGGCACTTGATTCCTGTCGGTAAAATGTAGACGAATATATCAAAATAATTTTGAATTTGTAAGAATATGTATTTTAATCTCTGATTCCCGACACTAATTCAATTGAAGGAATATGTAGAGGATGAAAGCAACCGCTAAACTATGTGGAAAGGATTCTGGAGAAAATTTGGAGTGGAAATGAGGTGTTAGTAGCTCATAAATTTTGTATCGAAACTCAATTTTTGTTAGGTAAATGTAGACAAATATAAAAAATTGATATTTGAAGTTTTGGAAATTTGTATTTTAATGCTTGATTATCAACACTGATTCAATATAAGGAGTACATAGAGGAGGAATGCAACCGCTACAACTACGAGGAAAGGATTCTGGAGAAAATTCGAAAAGGAAATGAGGTAAGAGTCGCTCATCAAGTTTGTATCGGACACTCGATTTTCGTCCAGTAAAATGTAGACAAAGGAATAAATTTGATTTTGATTTTTTTAAAATTTGCATTTTAATCTCTGATTATCGACACCGATTCAATATGAGGAGTACATGGACGATGAAAGCAGCCGCTACAACTACAAGGAAAGGAGTTTGGAGAAATTTTGGACTGAAAATGAGGTATGAGTTTCTCATCTATTTTGTATCGGACACTCGATTTTTGTCGGTAAAATGTAGACGGATTTATAAAATTGATTTTAAATTTGTTAGAATATGTATTTTAATATAAGATTCTCAACACTGATTTAATTGGAGGAATACGCGGAGGACGAAAGCAGCTGCAACAACTACGAGGAAATGAGAAATGAGTAAATTCACAATCAGAATGAGGTATGAGTTGCTCATCAATTTTGGATCGGGCACTTGATTTCTGTCGGGTAAAATGCAGACGAATATATAAAATCAATTTTGAATTTGTAAAAATATGTATTTTAATCTCTAATTCCCGACACTAATTCAACTGAAGGAATATGTAGAGGATGAAAGCAACCGCTACAACTATGAGGAAAGGATTCTGGAGAAAACTTAGAGTGGAAATGAGGTATGAGTTGCCCATAAATTTTGTATCGAAACTCAATTTTTGTT